TTTCATTAATCTCATGTAGCTCCACAATTGTTTTTCCTTGACCATTTATGTTACTCTTTCCGGTCTTTATTATAAGATACTTTTAACTGTTGCATTTTAAGAAACGTTAGTTTTTTTTTTCTTAATAATATAAAAAATGATATGTTCTTTTATTTTTACTTTTGGCTTTAAATAATAATACACTTACATTAAATACGTTTTCGCTAATCAAAAAAGGATTTAATTGAAAAGAGTAGTTTAATTATTACAAAGTGTCCCACATTTTGGATGAAAAATTATTTCTAAAAGGTGTCCTACAAATAGGGCTGGAGGGAGTATTTATTACTATGACTTTATATTTATCTTTAAAATTTCCGTTTTTATAGACATTTTTTATTATGTGCCTATATGTGGTCGGTCTTTTTGTATATTGGCATCAATGTAGTAATAAAATTTTCATGTTATTTTCAGACTGTTCATCATCTCGTTTTTGTTGTCCACAGACTCATTATGATTGTAATATTTACTCATTTCGGTTGCTGCAAATTTGTAATGTTAACACCTGACGTGTTCTTCAAAAAATCAGCATATTGAACGCACCAAGCTAGTTTGTCTTATATTCCTTTTCAAGTCATCTGTAGTTAGTCTCATAATTTCTTTCTTTTCATATGAATTTTTAGTCTAACGTTAAAGGCTACCTGGTAAATGCTATCGGATGTTTTTTCAAGGATACAATAGAAACAGAATTTTAAATTGTGTTAACCTTTTGTTTTGTTGAAAATATTTGCTAGACCTTGTTCTGTACCACCTTTTCTTGTCTTGTTCCATGTAATGAAGTTTGTACTGCTATGCAGAGACAAGGTTGTTGACTTCCACTGGAACGCATATGACCCATGGACAATTGTAAGTGTGTCTGACGACTGTGACAGTACTGGTGGAGGGGGAACATTGCAGGTATGAATCTTTTTCCTCATCCATTAATTGAGTATGCAGACCTTTATTTTCTTTTTAATCATATAATTGAACGAGCAATTTGCGGAAAGATCAACTAGTTTAGTTCTTGTGTTCATCTGTGGTCAGATAATGTAATTTTGTGATATGCTGACTAACATTCATCTTTAGGGTTAACCTTTTAGTTAGATCAAAACACTTTCTGCTGGGATTTGATATCAGAAAATGTAGGAAATGTCTCCCCTTGATAATTTCTGTGAAATCTGTTGGGTTTCTTGCATGTGATGTTTGCCATCTGCAAGATGTTTCATGACCATTGCAAAAATAAGTAAAAATTACTTCGGTCTGAAATTTATGTGAAATGTTAAATGATTTGTGCAGATATGGCGCATGAGTGACTTGATCTATCGACCAGAAGAGGAGGTTTTGGCAGAGCTTGAGAAATTCAAGGCTCATGTTGTGGAGTGTGCCTCCAAGTCTGAAAAGTGATGACACAGATGTTGTAGGCAGTGACTTGTTTCTGACTTGTCTGTGGTCTGAATGTATCATTGTATCATCATTGTAGCAGCTATTGTAATTTATGTTCATCTATTACTGCATTTGTTGTGATGTTTGTTTTGGTTCTAGAAAACACCCAGATAGAAAAACCCAAGTGGGGGGGGGGGGAGTCTTAGGTTGGAACATAGAACAATGAGGGATTTGATAGTGTTTAATTCAAGTTTGGATGATCATCATTTCGGAGATTATGAAAACCCTTGACTGGTCCTCGTGGCTCCTAAATTGTTTGTGTTGGCTGATAAATAAATTGTTTAGGTCACAGTCCCTTTTTAAAGGTTTTGTCATTGATGGAGTACAATGACTTGGCAATTTATGTAGTCAATCTTATCTAGAGATAAGGTTTGTTATTTTTGTTGTCCAGTCCCTTTCAACCTTCAAATGGGGAGTGAAAAGGTCAAATATTTTAACGATGGGGACTTGCTGACTCTGATATTTTAGTAGTTGGGACGCTGGAGAAGGTGGTGTTAGCAGGCATGCATGTTGCTGGCAATGATGGTTATAGTGTTGGCAATGAAGATGGTAGTAATTGTGACAGTGACCAAAATAAGTGTGATGATAATAATTGATGATGCCTAGATGTGGGTTTTATATGTTGCATCAAAACTAGCTGAAGGGAAAATTGGCCACAAGAACTATAAGGTCCAAATATTAGGACACAAGTCTCAAATATAGAAATAAAGCTTGCAAGCGACTTTGATCATGTAACGGCAATATATTTTCAGATAAAATAAAAAAATATATAGAGGAGGAAGGATAACAAGAGCATTTAAATAACAATATATATATATATATATATATGATTTTTTTGTTAGTCATCTAAGAATCTTCAAAATATGTATTACGGAAACAAGCGTGGAAAAAAAGATGAGTGTTTTGATAATTTTGTTGAAAAAATAGTCTCTCGATGACCGTGGTCCTTGTGCCCAAATATTCTGCAATATGAATTTAGGACATGTCCAAATATTGAAGTTTCTTGGTTTTTGTGGGAAGTGTTTTCTTAATATAGATACTATGAATTACAAATTGGATTTTTTCTTAATATAGGTACTATGAATTACAAATTGGATTTTTTTAAGTAGTTTAACATTCTTTCTGGTCCTTAATATGGGATATTTTAGATTATGAAGTATTTATGATAAATTATTAAAAATATTTCCATTTAATTTATTATGTCAGGATGCTTTAGGAAACAGGAGTTTATTCATTCTATAAGAGGGGTAGTTTTTTCACTGTCATTTAACACAAATGATGTTATTAACTAATTGAAGTTTTCAACATAAATCACGTGATTTGGTTAAAATGATTTTATATTGTTATTAATGGCAGGGAATATTTTATATTGGTAACTATGTTGTGGGCTAGGCTTGTAAGAATTATGAATGATGAAGATTTTTATCTTACTTGCATCCCCAAAATAAAATCCAACATTCTAGTTGTAGATCTAGTATTCTCAATTAAAAAAAACAAAATCACGGAAATGTAATGATATTCACAAATTTACTGCTCCCTAAAATCATAAAATTTCTAAATCTCTAAAACTTTGGATCTACCTAATAGGGGAGGAAAACAAATTCTTTAGGGGCTGTATTGTGCGACTGTGGAATCATTTTATGGTTTTAAAAAAATTTTCCTTTATTTTTAAAAAAGGGGAAACAAATCTTTGAGCTTAATTTCTATAACAATAAATAAAAGAAAGAAAAACTCAACTGAAATGACAAATAATTTTAGAAATACAGATTTTCTATAAGTCAAATAAGTTTTCCATTTTTATTAATTTGTCCATCCAACAACTATGTAATTTTTATTTTTCATAAAACATCTTTTAATGTATACTCAACCAACACGACAAATCTAGACTGTCTTATTTAATTTAATGATTTAAATTTTATATTTTAAAAATGTAAATTAATCTGTATCATTAAAATTTAATTTAATTAAAATCATAGTAGAAAGAAATGGTAACAATAAATAAATAAATATTAATCAAGTTGGTAAGCTTTTTTTTTTTTTTTTTCATAGTTCAAAAAGCTGTATGTTCCGGTTAGGCATTTTAAATGCTAAATCTCTTAAAAAATATATAATTTTTTGATTGAATATTATCCTTAATAAAATAATTAATTATGTTTAAATTAATATTATCTTTTCATATTTATTCTTATTTAATAAAATATTTCACTTAAAAATAAATATAAAGTACATTATTTATTATGTACACTTTAAAAAAAATCAATTAACATTTTAAAATATTAAAAATACTTTATATTTAAAAAAAGTGAGTCCTTAAACTTTACTTAAATTTTACTATAATTCTATGTACTTTTTTTTAATGTTCTAAATTTTTAAAATATTAAAAAGTAAAAGTGTTGGAACGTAAAATATATATAAAAAAAAACAATCAGAGGCCTAAAATATTCAAAAAAGCATAAGGACATACTCTTTTCTTAAAAAATATGAGGCATTTTTAATCAAATTTCACTCCCAATAAAATAGTTATCTACTTTTCAACTAATCTTTTTTTCATATTTACCCTTATTAAACACTTTACAATAAATATAAAGTCGCTATTAATAGGGGCATTTTTTGAAAAAAGAGCAATGATTACACTTCAAAAGACTAAAAATGCCTTCCATTTTGAACATTTAATTCCTTAAAAAATATCTTATATTTTTGAATGGAGGGAGTACATTAAAACTTAAACAAAATATAAGACCTCAAAATTATATATTTTTTATTTTTTTAATATCTAATATCTAAAAAAATGTCTTATACTCTCTCCGTTAAAAAATGTAAGGTATTTTTTGAGGAGTTAGATGTTAAAAAATATAAGATATTTTTAATCTTTTGATATGTAATTATTGTTCTTTTTTTAAAAGTATCTCTATTGATAATAATTTTATATTTATTATAGGGTGCTTAATAAAAATAAATATGAAAAGATAAAATTAATTTAAAAATAAATAATAATTTTATTAAAATAAAATTTAATTAAAATATTTTATATTTTATATTTCTATGAGCCTCCTTGAAGGCGGAAATATGCCACGAACTTGACGAGTTCCCGTACCTAATTGACTAATTCAAACACAATTTTTTGGGGAAAAAAAAAAAAACAAAGCTGTCACATGTTAGGGAGTGGTAGCCTGTAGGCTGCAGGGATGCGAATGCAGTGCCGTCCAAAATAATAATAATAATATATGAAATTAGAAAAAGGCAAAACAGCAGCAAATACAATAAACGTGACGCCGCACGTCCAGTAACAGTCCAGTCCGATTCACTTTCTGAACTCTGCAAACGCCCATCGCGTACGTTCCCTCTCTCTCGTTCCCGCCAAATTTCGGTCTCTAGTATCTTCCTCGACGCGCCGCCACGTCAACCCCATACTCCTGCCACGTCTCACCTCAAATCAACGGCCACTAGCATCGGTCTTTTCAAATCTCTCATCATTGCGCTTATCTCCTCCATCCTCCTTGTGGGTCCCTTCGAGATCCTTCCCTTTCTTTTTCCAGGTCCCTTCCTCTCTTCAAATCCCTCTCCTTCCTTCATCTTCCTTCCTTCCTTCTCAAGCTCGCTTCTATACCCTAACGCACGCTACTATGGAAGTTCAAGCTGAGGCTGATAACGTCGTCACAGCCGCCAAGGTCTCGTCGGCGGATGATGGCGCCGTCTCCGTTGCGGACGACGTTTTTGCTTGGTTGTTGATGGGCGACGATGGGTCCGGTGGTGAGCTGCTGAATCTGTTGGAGGACGTGAAAGATACGGTGGTGGAACCGGCGAGTACAGTGGGCGGAGTGAGGTTCATCGACGACCCTTATTCTTCGCTTTTGGTTTTTCAATCCTCCTCGTCGTACATCACCATAAACGGCAATGAGGAGAGTTGCGGATCGTCGTTCTCCGATTCGGGCACGTCTGTGATGGCCAGCGTCGACACCAACGGGTTGAGGGGGAAGCTTGTGGGTTCGGTGGAAGAGCTGGGCAGGGAGAGAAGCGCGTCGGCTTCCCGCAATGACACAACGCGTGAGGAGGGTTCGGTTATCGAGTGGGATGATGAAGTTCTGGCGAGGTTCCTCGGGGAAGAAGAAGGAGGAGAAGAGGTTGGTTTCTCAGAAAAACGCTGAAAGTGAAAACACGACCTCAGGTTTTGTCGTCGTCTTCATCTTCTTCGTCTTCTCATTTTCATTTTGTTGCATTTTTTGATCCTCTCGAAAAGGAAAATGGCAATGAGGAAATAGGAAATGAGTTGGTGGGTGTGCATTTTGTGAAGAAGAGAGTGAACTGAGGGGTCTTGTTTTGACACTGTGAATAGAATATACAGAAAAAACAACGGACGGAAGGAAATCTGCTTGCCTTGTTTTGGAAATTGCGTCTAGTTTCTGGGCTCGTCTTTTACCCTTTTCGGCTTTTCCCGTTTTCCCTCCCTCTTCATTCAATTTTCAACTTTCTAGCTAAAAAATATCAGGAACAAATATGAGCTTGACAAATCAGAAATAGCTTGGAGGATCCAGACATGCAGTGAGTATATTTTCTATATTATTTTCACTTTTTTTTCCAGTCTATGCGTGCGAAATATTGAATATTATTATTGATTCAGAGTTTTGAAACCCACAATACATTACATGCTATGATTCTTGGGATTCTCTTGAGACTCTGGTTCTGGGTAGCAGCTTGAAAGGATTTCAACCATTGCAGGTGGGGATGAACTTTCCAATAAGTCTCTATTATAACTAGGGCTGTTCAAAATCAAATTACATGAACAAATTAAAACTTACGAAGTCATGTTATATTTATTATATACATATTTTTATAAATTTGTTGAAGTTTTCCCCCTTTTCTTATATTTGTAAATCAGTAGTAAAAATGTTACAGTTAACTAAATATTATCTATAATTATATATGTGATAATTTTTAAATTTTCTAATATATATATATATATATATATAATTTTTAATAGTTAGATATGCTAATTAAATGTTAAAAAATATTTTTGTGTTCAAGAAATTTTTTTCATTCCAAATAATAATTAATAGTTAAAAAATAAAAATTATTAATGAATGTAAAAATATATTAGTAATTATGAAAAATATTTTATCAAAAAGCAAAAAATTTGAGACAAATCAATTAGAGGAACAAAATCGAGTAAGTCTCAAATTATAATGAACCCGCGGGTTTGATTTGTTTTTTTTCCCCACCAAACTGAACACCATTAATTAATAATTATTACTATTATTAATAGTATTATTAGATTTGGAATGAGACATTAAAGTTGAGAGTGGAGGGTTTGGTGTGGAGTCCAAAGGAGATTTGTAGTATTAGCTGTGTCCAAATGTCTTTTGCTTGAATTGCCAACCTCCAAATCTTTTTTTTTTTTCTATTAATATATTTGAAATACTCAGTATTTCTGGATACCTCAAAATTGAATGATTTCCCCCCTGTTCATTTGGTTGATGTACTCAGTGGCTTTTTGGCCAAAACAACTACTCAATGTTTTTAAAATACTTTAGAATCTAGAATATTTCTATCTATATAAATATTAAATATCAATTGCTTATGATTTTAGAATTAAGATTTTATATTTAATTGAGTTGAGAAAAATTATATTTTTAGTTCTTATTATTTCCCTTAATATTCAATTTGATATTTATAATTTATGAATGTGTAAATCAAGTCTTTAGAATTTAAATGATTTCAATGCAGTTTTTATTATTTTTAATTAATAATCGGTTAATTATACTTGCTTTATAATGCAGGTTTTTTATTTTTGTTATCATTTTAAGTAATGTATTCTAGCCAATTAAAGTGATATTTGGATCAATCTGGAGGTCATTTCAATCTCATTATTCGGTAAACAATGCATTATAACAATAAAATATAACAAAAGACTGCAAAAATTTTAATAATAAGTTTACTTAAAAAACTTAATTTTTCCAAAATATTTTTTAAAAGAAGTTGAGGGGCTGAGTTATATTTAAAAAATTAAATTTTAATTGAGTTAAAAATTGAAAATTAAAAAATTAATTTTCCCAAAATATTTTTTAAAAGCAGCTTTTGATTTAGTGAAATATTAAATTTGATTCCCTATGTATGATATTTTATATATCTTTCTTAATGTTTTTCTCTTATAAAGTAAAATTTAAATTTAAAATAATTTAATTTTTTTAAGAATGTTATGTGTGGGTATGAATTTAAGCTGAAAGCCTCTAAAAAACTTTTGAATGAAAAGGAAAGAAGGCAAATGCATTAATGCAATAAATAATATAGTTATGATTTTTTTATTTTAATTTATGTTTATTTTACTCAAGTGCTCTACCAAATAAATTCATAGTCATGAATGATTCCATTCATTTCCATTCCCCATGATTCCATTAACTCATCCCAACTTATTTTTAATGACAATTCAGACAATATATATTTACTACAGTGTTGAAGTGGAGAGACGTGTGTGTGTGTTAGCATTACGTGGGACACAACAATGAATAATGGCAAATCCTAATACCCAATTATATTGTGTTTGGAACTCATTGTGTTATTTATCATTTTTCACGTGCTTCTTTCTTTTTCTCTTGTTCGGCAGATAAGATAAGGATGCTCTCTTCTTTCTAGACATTATTTTCTTTTTAGATGAGCTCATCAATATATTTTCTCCTGCAATGTAATGTACAAAAGATATGATTTCAAAAAAACTAAAAAAAAATGCTAGTGAACAAAATAAAGTATCTAAAAGTTAATAAAAAAAAGAGCTACGGCAAAAATTATTTTAACTTAATTAAAGATTTTGAGTTTGAGTTCTAAGAATGCAGTAACGTAACTGGTCAGGGATGCCCACCTTTGTGATGCTTGTAATGCCTTGATTTGAATTAGTCTAAGTTCCGTTAAGTCCTCACAATTCGAGTGAGGCAAGGTTCAAGACATTGGATGCTCATGCAAAAAAAAAAAGTTAATAAAAATGTGATAATAAATATTGAAAGAATAGCTTATTCATTTTTATGTGTGCAACAAGTTTAATTGGTTAATAAAAATGTGGTGATAAACAGTAAATCATAAATTGTCTTAGTGGTAGCATTACCTTACTTGTTTAAAAGAAGTCCTAAATTTGAACTTGGTGTTAACATATTTGTGTATGTACGTGTTTTAATTTTATATGATAAAGGGTTATATTTGGGATAATTTTTTTTTTTCAAAAAAAAGTTATTAAATCTATCATTTGCCTTGAGGGATAGTATTCTCCACTTGGAAATGAATACTCTAGCTCAAAAAAATAAAAAAGACATTGAAAGAATAAAAAAATTATACCAAATTTAAGATTATGTTGAATTATTTATAATTCATAAACAACATAGATTTTAAATATATTTCATATTTTAAGAAAATTGATTCCCTTAGTATTATGTCCATACATTTTTTTTCTTATATAATTTGTTTCATTTATCTAATTGTTTATTTGATTTAATGATGAAAAATTGCTGATTGTGACATTTAATTAAATAGGGTAAATGAACAAATTACCTCTAAACATTAGATCAAGTAACACCATAAATATTAAATTTATTTATTGTGTAAATTATTTTCTTAACTTGTAAAAACAGTGTAATTTAAGCTTTATTTTTTTAAAAAAATTAACTTTAATCGTTAGTTAATTATAAAATGATAGAAAAAGACTTAAAACATTACAATAAAGGGCCTAAATTGAAATCCTTTTTTATCATTTTATAGTCAACTAATAATTAAAATTAATTTTTATTAACAATAAAGATTAGATTATACTATTTTTAAAAATTGAAAAAATAATTTATATAATAAATACGTTTTAAAGTTTACTATTGTGCTATTAGGTTTGAAGTTCTCTAGATAATTTGTTCATTTGTCCAACTAAATATATTACTTGTGCTAATAATAAATATATAATTATTGAATTGAACGTGGAATTAAATGAATGGTAAAATTTCAGTCTATGGCAAACAACAGAAGAAGACGGAATGGAATTGATAACGGTGAGTGGTCGTACAAGCTCTCTTTTCCATGGGATCACTGAAAGCCATTGTTCTTTTGAGAGCCAATGGGAGAGACAATGGGTGCTTCTGGTACACCGATGGTTAAAGCCGTCTTTTCACGAACCACTTTTTGGTGAGACCTCTCAATATGACGCAGATGGTTTTCATCCCCAAGATTGATAGACCCAAAGGCCATCGAGGAATTCCAGCCAATTAGTTTGAAAGCAGATGATAGACATAATTGGGATTTTCTTTTTAAATGTAATCCTAGGAGGTTGATTCAAGAATGTGTTTCATTATGAATTCTCTCACTATACTTGTTTTTCACTTGCTAACTAAGAAAGATATATCTCTTTTCTTTTTTCTTTCTTTGTTTTTTTTTTGGTGGATGACCTTACGCTCTTTGTCATGGCAGATTAAGAACAAGCATGTATGATCAAGGCTACAATAGATGGTTAAGTTAAAATTTATTATTTTTCTTATAAATAAAAACAAAGAGAAACATAATAATTTCTTATATACTCAAAAACAAATAGTAATTTATCATGATTTATGATGGTGCTATGCTTGATGACTTTTATTTTAGAGTTGAAAATAAGGATCAGGTTTGAAAACATTATTTAGATAAAGGTTCAAGTTTGAAAATTGGTGGTTTTTTTTTTTAAAATTAGGCCTCCAGGCCCAACGTTGGTTGGCCCTGAAAAAAAGAAAAGAAAAGACTCAAACTCGGGTAGCCCTTTAAGTCTTGTTCCCCAAAAGATTGATAATTTTTCAAATATTGTGTTGTCAAAATAATTGATGTTGGTTCTTTTACCATTTATTTTAACACAATATTAACAGGTTTTTTATTAATTTCTTAAACACAATTACTTTATAATTTCTATTTCTTGATTTTGATTAATGTTTTACTCTATGATATATAAGTTTTTATATTTATTGAATTTAATAAGGTTGATATAGATTGAAAATTTTTATCTTCACTTTAAAATGTGATTAAAATTCTATATCTATATTTTTATTTATTTATTTTATTAAATTTTTAAATTTTTTTATATTTTAAAAAATAAAAAAAGATTACAAGCCCAATTTTAAGTCCTTCAAATAGAGTTGAGCTTTAAAAATTAATTATTTTTTAAGAAATCAGGCCTAAGGGATGAGCTGTTAAGGACTAGGTTTGTCCATTTTCTCACCTCTACTTTTCTCTTTTCAAATATAGTTGCTTTTTTTTTTTTTGCAAGATCTAGTAACTGATTTTTAAATTTTCTATTACATAAATATATAGCCTTTTTTAAAATTTACTGTATTGTATAGTGTCACAATGAACAAAATATATAATATTTTCGTTTTTTTTTTCAAGTCCACATGCCCTCAATGCCTTCTATTCCTCGATGATAGGTAGATTTTCGTGTTTTAAAACTTTAAATGGTGAAGGGAAATGATTTTGAAGTGCAATTTTGTTTTTAAGAAAAAGAGTGGGCCAGGCCTTGTAATCTCAAGTATTGGACATTAGTAGAGCCCATGCTAATGTAATTTTCAGGCCTGGGCTCCCTCAAGACTGCCAATGGTCCTACCTTTGTTAGCCTTCGATTTCCCAACAAGGAGTC